AATGTTGGTAGCTTATGCATTATTTAGAACCTGCCATCTTGCCTTGGTCTCACAAAGGAAAATGACAGCATTGTCATGATGGTTTCAATGTATGTGATGGGAATATAGATGTTGGATTTTGGAGCTTCTGTGAATTGCTGAGGATATTAAACCCTCAATTTTTTCCCATCCATTATTGCAGATAAATATCTGGTATATTAAAAATTTATATTGCATGTACATTTGAGAAATATAGTATACTGTTAACAAAATTATTAACTCCAGCTCATATTTTATCCAAGGTAATACATATGAAAGATTACAGGACATCACATGGGCACAGATGATAGCTAGATTTGGCTCACTCTTATTTCCACTAGTGTCACATAGAACAATTTTGTTCATTTTGAGATATTTTCAGTGAGATACTTGGAAATTTGGATAAGACTATTACATCAAGGCACATAGATAAAATGGCTTGGCAGCAGCACCATCTTGTATTTACATAGTTCCTCTTTTCTTTTTGGCTACTTGTGAGCCTCTTTTATTTCAGTTCTAGATTCTTGTAGTCTTTCTCCTTCTTTAATAACACATCTTTGGTTATACCTCTGCCAATTCACAGATCTTCATTGACTCCTATTTGCACCCCAAATAAATTACAAACTCCTCAGGGTAATAATTAGGGCCATCCTGTGTAACCACCCTTTAGAACAAAAAGTAGAATAGAAATAGCACCCAGAAGTCATCCTTGTTGTTGCTGTCCTCATGCTGTCCTATTATCCTTCCCAAGAATAATATCTGACTCAAAGTCTTTTTTGTTCCTTATGCTCATGAGATTCATCCCCATGTTGTTGGTTATAGTGGGAATTCATGGCTGTGTAACATTATTTGCATACCTCCATCAACAAACTTTATGTGTATAAAGCTCTTCCTAGATGTGGCTTGGAGAGTGATGAAGTTCAGTAAAGCTTAAGCTAGTCATGCAGACACGGAAGGAAGTTCAATATGGCCCTGCTGGGACCCTTAGTTTCTGTCTAGTCCTTCTCAGGAGCCAGAAACAGTGCACAGGATAGCATGAGTGAGCACTTTAAAATTGCTCTTGCTTAGAGCTGAGCTTCTCAAACTTCTTTCTAAATTTGTTATTATTGTGGTAAAATGCACATAATAGAAAATCCACCATTTTAACTATTTTGAAATGTACAATTTGGTGCATTATGTACATACACAATTTTGTGCACCCATCACTGGCTCCAAAATATTTTCATCACCGTCAAAGGAAACTCTATACCCATTAGGTAGTCACTTCTCATTTCCTCTTGAAAACATCAGTCTGCTTTTTGTCTATCTCTGTAATATACCTATTCTGGATAATGAAATCTTATATAAATGGAATCATGTACGTAACCTTTTGTGCTTGGATTCTTTCATTTAGCATAATGTTTCAAGACTCATCCATGTTGTATGTATCAGTACTTCATTCCTTTTTCTAGCTAAATAATATTCTATTGTATGGATATACTATATTTTGTTTATTTATCCACCTATCAGTGAACATCCCTCCCCCTTTTTTTGGCTATTGTGAACAGTGCTGCTGTGAACATGAGTATACAAATATTTGTTTGAATATTTATTTTTTATTTCTTTGGCATGTATACCCAGGAATGGAATTGTTGTGCCATGCAGTAACTATGTTTAACTTTTTGCAGAACTGCCAGATTATTTTTCAAAGTAGCTATACCATTTCACATTTACACTAGTAGTATATGAGGGTTTCTCCGCAGCCTTCCAAACATTTGTTATTATCTGTTAATTGTTACTGTGTTATTATTACTTTTGTTGTTGTTAATCCTCACCCAAAGATATTTTTCCATTGATTTTTTTTTCGAAAGAGTGGCGGTGGGGAGAGACAGAGAGAAGGAAACATCATGTGAAAGAGACACCTCACATCAACTTGTTGCCTCTGGCATGCGCCCTGACCAGGAATGGGGATTGAGCCTGCAACCAGAATTGAACCTGGGACCTTTCAGTCTGAAGGCCAATACTAGCCACTGAGCCAAACCGGCTAGGGTGTTTTGATTATAACCATCCTAGTGGGTGTGGAGTGGCATCTCATTGTGGTTTAGATTGTATTTCCTTAATGAATAATGATATTAAGCATCTTTTAATATGCTTACTGACCATATATCTTCTGTGGAGAAATGTCTATTCAGATCTTTTGCCCCATTTTAAAATTGGGTTGTATTTTTCTTGTTGAGTTGTAAGACTTTATTATACATTCTGGACACTAGACCCTTAACAGGTATATGATTTCCAAATATATTCTCTTAATTCTCTGTACATTATCTTTTTACTCTCTTGTTATTATCCTTTGATGAACAAATGTCTTAAACTTCGGTGAAGTTTAATTTCTCTATTTTTTCTTTGATTACTTTTGTTTTTAGTATCTTGTGATATTTAAGAAACTATTGCCAAATTCAAGGTTATGAAGACTTACCCCTATGTTTTCTTCTAAGAGTTATATAGTTTTGACCGTACAATTAGATCTTGGACCTGCTTTGAGTTAATTTAATTGTTGTGTATGGTGTTAGGAAGGGGTGTGATTATATTATCTTGCATGTGACTATTTAGTTGTCCCAGCACCATTTAAAATTTTTTTTGTTAATTGGTTTAGAGAGAGAGAGAGATGTCATTCTGTTGTTCCATGCATTTTTTGTTTCATTGGTTGCTTCTTGTATATACTCTGAGCAAAGATCGAACCTGAAACCTTGGTGCATTGAGACAGCGCCCTAACTACCTGGCAAGGGCCTGCCATGAATCACCATTTGTTGAAGAGACTTTTCTTTTCCCATGGAATGGTCTTAGAATCCTTGTTCAAAATTAATTGATCTTAGATATATGGGTTTATTTCTGGAATCTTCTTTTCCATATATCTATATGTCTATATATCTTTCCATTTCTGTTATCCCACTACCACACTGTTTTAATTTTTGTATCTTTGTCATAAGTTTTGAGTCTTTTTTTTTTCTAGGTCAATCTAAAGGTTTCTCTCTTTTATTGTGAGTCAGTCTAAAATTCTGTTGACCTTTTCAAAGAACCAATTTTGCTTTTATTCATTCTATTGTTTTCTTTCTCTTTCATTGTTTTCTGCTCTAATGTTTATTATTTCTTCCCTTATGCTAGTTTTGGGTTTACTTTATTCTTTTTTCTTCTTCTTCTAGTTCCTTAAAGTTAAAATTAAATTTTATTTTTATAGAGGCTTTCAGGAGCTTCCTGACCAGCCAGAGGTGCAACTTAGTTTCTGGGTTTTTCCTGAGTATGCACCCAGCCCTGAGTGTGTGTCCTAGATTCCCTCACTATATGTGGGAACTTTTCAAAGCCATTATTTCCCCATGTATCCCTCATTTCCAGCCTCTTCTTTCTTAGGCTTTTTAGTCTGTCACCTGCTTGTCCTGTCAGTTATCCTTTGTTTCAAGCTGCTGCAGCTAGTATATTTGTCTAAATGCTTTTGATAATGGTCAGACTCCAGCCCTGAGAAAGTTCTGACCTAGGCAAAACAAAGGCAAGCATCTGAGCCCATCCCCTCAGGGAGCCTCTACATAGGTCAAAACAAACAGTAACATTCCTTTGAGAACAAAGTCCACATTACCTCCTCTTGGACAATCCACACCAGGAACATGGGCCATTGTACTTAAGGCCATTGCCCAGCTGGAGATTGGGAAGTGGGAGATGATGGGTGAGTTAAAATACCATAAAGTTCTCATCAAATATAGCAACTTGTTTTTTATTAAGCACTAGAGGCCTGGTGCATGAATTCATGCATGGCTATGGTCCCTTGGACTAGCCTTTGATCAGGGCCACCTTCCCCGGCACCCAGCCCCGCCTCCTGCCGCCACCCACTCCAGTTCCCCATTCACCATCGGGTGATTGGAGCCTGAAGGCCAGGGGGAAGGATCGAGAGGTCGGCCATTCCCGCCCGTTCCCCAGCCCTACCCCCGCTGCGGGTCACCCTCTGTGTGGGGGGCAACTGGCAGGGTGGGGACCTTGGCCTGGTGCCGCCCGCACCCTCTACCACCCACCCCCAGGTCCCTGTTCACCATCGTGTGATGATAGCCTACTGAGGTGGTCCGTGCACCTCATAGTGACTGGTTGAGCAGTCATTCTGCCGTTATGATCGCTGGGCTTTTATTATATAGGATCCTCCTAATTGTTGTAAGATTTCAGAGTTTCTGAAAAATTGATTCTGACAGTTTTTGGCAGCTTAAGCGTTGCTTTAATAGAGTTTTGAAGACTCCTAATCCATTGTTTTCAGTGATGTTACCTTGCAGGTTGCCATTTTATCTATACACTGGAATTCATCATTAAAGATTAATGAATAAAATATAAACTCACATCATTGTTTTAGAAGTAGGTGTTGAAATTTTAAGTTACCGATAACAATATAATGTGACTTGCTTACACAGAAAGAATTGAACACATCAATTGAAAAAAGCACTAATTCCATAGGGTGGTGGTGTTTTTTAAATTTACAAAATATTTTTCCTATCTAATTTACTTTTTCACTGTTAGCTTGTGTTTTCTGTCGAAAAAATGATGATTGTCCTAATAAATATGGAGAAAAGAAAATTGATGAGAAATGGAATCTCACTGTACATTACTATTGTTTGGTGAGTATAATTTATAAGTAAATCTTAGAAATTTGATGTTCTTCTAAAGAAGAGGATTAGATCCTGATGATTGGTTTCTGAGAATTAGATAACTTATTTAACTATTCTGGCTCTCATTTTGCCTATATGTAAAAATAAGATTTTCATTAAGACCTGTCATCATTACATATTTATTTTTGCTAATATTTTGACTAAAGGTAATAAATATTTGTAGAAAAGGAAATAAGATAATTTATGATGGGTCACTCAAAAGAAAAAAGTAATTTCATACTGAAAATTAGTCTCATTTATTTCCCCATTCCCTCCACCAATTTCTTGATTCACTGAATCTGTGTCTTAAATTCTTATTTTCTGGGTACCGCTTTAGGGCTGTTCACAGCATAGAATCTGGCTTCTTCCAGAGCAAGTGAAGAAAAAAAGGAAGAGGGGATAGATACATACACTGTCGTGGAATCATGTGACCTCGTCTTCACAGTCACACATCACTGTCACTTTTGCTTTGTGCTCTTGCTTAGAAGCAAGTTATTAAGTGTTAACTCACACTCAAGGGGAAAGAAATTAGACTCCACTTCTTAAAGGAAAGAGTATCAACTAATTTGTGGACATATTTTTATACCTATTATGGGGGGGCTGTTTCTCTCTTCTCCATGTCCCACATGGAAAAGGAAACAGTCCATTTGCTGAGTGGAGGAGCTGGGGATTAAGAAATTAAAGAAAGACCAAGACGCAGAAATAGATTTTAAACTGGGGCCAGGTGGGCGCCATCCTCTCTGATGGAGAGGCAGCAAAAGCGGGCTGAGCCACACAGCAGGTTTATTTTAAAGCCCTAGATTTACCTATCTAGTGCCACCCCTGCCTGGTTAACATGTCCAGCCTTATTGGGGAAGCATGTTCCCAGGGCGTGGCTCTGCCTATGCTCTGAGTTCAGCTGACAATAATTATAAGAAAATGCCTAGGTGCCTCCCAGGCGGCCCTCTACAACCTACCACAGTATCCATGTTAAAACTCTTTAGATGCTTCCTTAAGAAAACATATAATATATTCCTTGGTGGTTCTGTAAGACTAGTTTTGTGTCTCAGTTACCCTATGGGTTAAATAAACTTCTAGACTGGCCTAAGAACCTAATTCCTTTGTACCAAGAGTTAAGAAAACATGAAATTGGCATGCCGAAATTTTTTGTAAATTGGAATTTATTGTATTTTGCATAACAAAACGTTTTCATTTTTCTAAGAGCTTATTTTACTTTTTATGTAGAATTAAGAGGGCTATTTTATTAGTCTGTTCTCCCCCTCCTCCCCATAACTAATTCCTAAGTAATATCACTTGGTTTTCTTTAGGAGACATTATATTGATTAAGACCCTTTAAGCACTTTGATATTGTCAGTACTTTGAAGTATTTTTGAAATATTTAAATATATTTAAGTTGATCACATTAAATTTTTTATATTCTCTTATTTTATTAGCGAGTATAATAATTTGAAGAGATACTAACCCTAGACTCAACATTTATAAGATTCTATTTCTCTGTGAACAGAAAAGAGTAGTAATGTTACCAATGGCAATGGAATGTTAAAGTTAAAAGTGACTTATTGATAATCTAGTCCAGTGTTTTTATTTTTGTGTTTAAGATCATTCATATTAAATTATTTGCTGAGGGATCTGGAAAGTTGGATACAGAGCCTGATTTGCAAGCCAGGACTTGTTATTCACAGTCCCATGCTTTTTCTTTTTTTTAAAAAAAATATATATTTTATTGATTTTTTTACAGAGAGGAAGGGAGAGAGATAGTCAGAAACATCGATGAGAGAGAAACATCGATCAGCCGCAACCCAGGTACATGCCCTTGACCGGAATCGAACCTGGGACCTTTCAGTCCGCAGGCCAACGCTCTATCCACTGAGCCACACCGGTTTCGGCCCATGCTTTTTCTTGATTCATGCTCCTTTAACATGTTTAAACTAAAGTTAAAAATCAGATTTTAAAACATTTAAACATTTATGTTAATTACAATTCAATAGGTTTCCCTGTAAATATGCCTTATATGATTTAGAATCCAGCTAGATTTACAGTTAGCCTGAAATATCACTAATAATCTGTATTATCCCCCTCGTATTGACTGTTATTATATTTACACCTTTCAGTATTTACCACTTTTTCCCCATAAAGCTTAATTACAGGTATTTTTGGTTTTCCTTCCTTCCTTTCTTCCTTTGTCTCTTATTTCCTGAAATATTTTAGAGACTAGTTTCATTACATGGACTATTAATATACAGTACCTTTTAAATAAAAAATGTGAGTAGCCTCTTACTTTGATTATAAAAAATAACTATTACAGGTAAGAGGTACTTGAAATTCTAGCTGTTTTATTTATTAAAATATTATAGATAAATAATTTTTATTCAAAACTAGTTTTTTAGAGTTTATTTTTTAATTGAGAACATATTCATAGTTGATGTCAAGTGGAATTTGGCAAAGAGGTAAAGAAGAAGAAGGAGTTTATGGTTTCCTAATAGAAGACATAAGGAAAGAAGTGAATAGAGCTTCTAAACTGGTAAGTAAATTATTTTACTCATTTTAGTAAATATTGTAAATATTGTCAATACTAGGGAAGTCTTTTTTATCAGTTTCTCCACTAGAAATTTGTAAGACTTCTATTTTATGTTCCAGTGCTTACTTTGTCAAATATGGTGAATTTAGAACATTTGTCTTTTTGCAAGTGAAAGGGAACTTAACCGCCCCTGGATAATATATGTGACAGTATTGATTTTCACTTCCTTATCTTATTCCAACCAACCCATCAATTCACCCACATTTATCATCAGAATTATGAATGCACTAATACTCCGCTGTTCTTCAAACTTCAATACTGAGTCATCCAGACATTCACTTTTCATTCTTATACCTCAGTTGTTGGGTTGAAATGATGGGTTGAGGTAAAATTACACAAGTATGTAGACCAGTAATTTGTGATCTCCACACCTCTGTGTCCCTTCTGTGACTTTGTGTGCTTTGTTCGGGGCCTCCTGTTCTCCAAGATAAGTATTCTAAGCTTTTAACTCCTCACTCATTTCATTATAGTACTAGAGGCCCGGTGCATGGATTCATGCACCAGTGGGGTCCCTTGGCCTGCACCCTCTCACAATCTGGGACCCCTCAGGGGATGTCAGATTGCCGGTTTCGGCCCTTTCCCCGCAGGCCAGGCCGTGGGACCCCACCAGTGCATGCCTTTAATATGCATATATGATCTTTGGTTACTCTCTCCCCACCCTCTACCCTCCCCACCTTCTCACCGAGATGCATCAGTCTGTTCCATGTTTCCATGCCAGTTCTTTGAGTTTCTGGCCCCTGGTGGTCAGTGTGCATCATAGCTACTGGTCGAATGGTTGAACAGTTGCTTAGGCTTTTATGGACTTGAGGCCTGGTGCACAAAAATTTGTGCACTTGGGGGGGAGAGGGGGGTCCCTCAGCCCGAACTGTGCCCTCTCCCAGTCTGGGACCCCTCGGGAGATAACGACCTGCTGGCTTAGGCCTGCTCCTGGGTGGCAGAGGGCAGGC